CACCGACCACTCTGCCTCACACTGACGCCTCAAACTGACCCCTCACCCCAGTGACCCCTCTGCCTCAAACTGACCCCTCACCTTAGACACTGCACATCTCACTCTCAGACATTGAACCTTCCCCTCAAAGGCTTAACCTGATCCCCTCCCCTCAGGTACTGAACACTCCCAATTCAAATACTGAACCCCACCTCCCAAGGCATTGACACCCCACACACTGCCCTCATCCCTCTGCAGACACTGAATTCCCACCGACACTGTCCTGCCTTAGACACTATGCTCTGACACTGTCTTCCATCCCTCACCAACACTGTCATCCTTTCCCCCACCTTCAAAGACACTTCCTTCCTTTTCGCCCTCTCATCCCCATCCTGCCTGCAGTCACTGCACCCTATTCACCACTCAGCTACATTGTCTCATACTGACATTGCCTTGAAACTCCCCTTCCCTTACCCCTTCCCTTACCCCTGTGTTCCCTGCCCTACCCCTTCCCCCTTCCTCCTTCCTCCACCATTTACTGTACACAGGCCACCATCTCTGCCCACACTCCTTTCAGCACTCTGCACCACCTCATGCATGCCCCACTGTGATACATCTGGTTTGGAATGTTTGCTATGGGGTCCTATGCTCAGAGAGGTTGGACAAGGTGCAGTAGTTTACTGAGGGTTTTAGGACGTGCAGCGTTGAGTCAAAGCACTGATACCAGCAACCGAGATGCGATTGGTTCTGTTGTTACTTCCTTGGTGCATTTAATTGATGATAATGGAAAATGGAAAAAGCCGTATAATTAAAGCAGTTGGCTTCTCATGATTTGGCAGGTGAATGTAAAGAATTTAAAGAGAAATTTATGAATTGCCTACGAGAAAGCAAGTTTGACAATTCTCTGTGCAGACAGCAATCGAAGGAATACTTGGAGTGCAGAATGGAAAGGTACAGCACTAAAAACATGAAAATTTAGTAACTATAAACCTTCTAATCAATTGTTCTTAATAATTTGGATCGAGTCTTCATTATAAAGGTAAATTGTTGTAACATCTCCTTCTGTAACCATTGCAGTTTGTTTTCCTTGGCTGTTGTGTCCACTTTTTAAATGTTGTTTTCTCTCTCAACCATTCCTTGAAGTATTGAAGGCATTTTGGCATTTGAATACATTACTGTAAAATACTTGAGATAACAAGGTGTTGAGCTGGATGAACACAGCAGGCCAAGCAGCATCAGAGGAGAAGGGTCATTTCTCAAGAAGGGTCTAGGCCCGAAACATCAGCCTTCCTGCTCCTCTGATGCTGTTTGGCCTGCTGTGTTCATCCAGCTCTACACCTTGTAATCTCAGATTCTCCAGCATCTGCAGTTCCTACTCTCACTGTAAAATATTTAGTTACTGATTTTCGATTCCCATCCTAGTTTCCCTTATCACTGCAACTTTCACCAATCCTACAAGTGTAATGGAGGTGTAAGTTGAATGGCTTCTTCATCGTCCATCATTCAAAAGGTCACAATATAAAATGTCAGACATAAAATTTTTAAACGTGTATCCCCTGGTTTGGGAATTTAGAATTTTCCATTACTGCATTGATGTATCTATTTGTTGTTGAAATCTCTATGGTAGGTTTTCATCCCACAACATTTGATTGAGGCAAGAGTGCTACAACCTGCACTCCAATTGTTAAAGTTGTTTTTATAGTGCCTTTGCACAAGGATTACTAAATGTTGGCTCATCTTCTAACATTGCTCGTACCATACTGTGCATGTCTAATTGTTTTCTTCTACAGGCAGCTGATGACAAAAGAGCCACTGGAAAAGCTGGGATTTAAAGATCTCGTTGACAGCAACACATCGGAGAAACAGCACCAGATGAAAACGTAACTGTAGAGGAACACATTCCAAATACAAACTAAATAGGAGGCCATTGATGGACATATTTTCATATCAACTCTGTATATATTGGAAAATATGTTAACTTTCTGTATAATAAATGTGGAAAAAATACTTAAGGTGAGTGATTTGTTTCATTTTCCCTCTTTGATTACATTTCTGAATGGAATGTATACTGTTGTCATAGTTGTGATTTATATTACATTCAACAGAAAATGATTCATTAGGTGCCTTTCCTTTGCCCATGTTTTGTGAATGCTATGAATGGATGCTATTTTGGTGCAGTGCATGATCTTTTAGATCTAGTGGCGCAGTAATAGTGTCCCTGCCTTTGGGTTCAAAGTTCCAGTTTGAGTCTCACAACATGACATCTTGGCCGTGGAAAATGCATTGATAAATAGGAACAAAATGGGGATAGTATCAGCCTGTAAATCCTTCCAAAATGTCTGATGGTGGGTGGTAAGAATGTGAGAATTTCCTGGTCAGCCACTCTGCTGATCCAAAGAATGGATCGATCCAAAAGAAGTCCTCAAACAAGGACATGAGAAAAGACAGACACCTGTGATATTTAGTGTTTTCTGTGTTTGGCACTGGATGGGGACCATGTGTCCTTTATCCACTTCCTGGATTGGATAATGTTTACACATGGGGATGGGCTGAAGTGTAGAGGTGATGCATTCTGGTGGAGTATGACACCAGCACGGTCTTAAACTCACATCTCCAAGAGTCACTTTTTGGTTTCAATGCTGGAGATTTATTGGCACATTTGCAGCAATATCTCTGCTTCAGATTATAAAACACGTTTGCAGCCTGAAGGCAGAGTTGCAATGTGACTTGCATCAGAAAGTCATAAAAATCAGTTTAAAAATGTGCAGTCATGAAACAATAATGGAAGTGGTGAATGGCATATTGGAAAAGAGTAATGAATTAAAAGTTTCAAGCCAGTAATTAATTTCACAGGCGATAAAGTACATTGAAATTTCATCCTTTAACTACTTAATTGAGGACCTGAACCATATGAGATGTATAGTTGGAGGGTTCTTGTGGCGCAATGGTCATGTCCCTACTCTTGGGCCAGAAGATCTGTGTTTGAGTCCCATCTGTTCCAGAGGTATGTCCGAACGCACCTGAACAGGTTGATTAAACATATCCATAAGGCTATATCAGCAACATGGAAATAAAACTGCAGTATGAGTGTTTTGTCACATTTAAACATTAAATGAATTGTTCAATGTTATTCTGTTTCAAATTCTCTGATTTTGTTAATTGCTTATCCGAGTCACGCCATTGTAGGACCCAGTTACCTATCTCAGAAGGCAAGAGGTGACAGATCATCTATTGCTATTTGCGCACCATATAGTACAAACATCACAGCAACGTTGTGAGAGGTATGACAGCACTTTCAGCTGCAGGTTAAATGTAATTGGTGACCCTGAGAGATTTTAAATGCTATAACTTCTTTAATTTTTACTAACACATTGGAACAGTTTAAATGGGGACAACAGTGTGGTTGTAAATTAACATTATCTATGGGATTAGATACAAAATAATATATTGTTACATTGCTGTAATGCTATATCATGCCCTTTGGCTCAACTATAACTGTTAGTGAGCAGGATCCCGCTGAAGGATATGTGGGCTGTATATGCTATGATGACTGGACATTTGGGAAAGATACAAATTGTCACATTGAGTCTGTGAATACAAAGATCAAAGACTCAATTCTTCTTCTAAATAGAATGTGTTAACAACGTGCTTTACAATGATGTCCTAGATAACATGCTACATAGTGGCCATGCGTACCTTCTTCAGACAGTTTACAGAACTGTTACAGCACAGAAGGAGACCATGATGCCCGTTGAGTCTGTGCTGTCTCTCTGAGCAATTCACCCAGACTCTCTGCACCACCTTCTCTCTGAAACCTTACACATCCTTCTGTCTCACATAATAATACAAGTTGCTTTGAATGTCTAGATTGAACTGGGCCCCTCACTCCCATCGTACTGTATTGCAGTACATTCCAAATCCTAAGCACATGCTGTATTAAAAAGTTTTTCCTTAGTTGCTACTGCTGCTTCTGTCAATTATTTAAATCTGCACTCTCTGCTGAACCTTCAACCAATACCAGCAGTTTCTCCTTATCAACACTGGTCAGACTCCTCATGATTTTGAATATCTCTTATCAAATGTCCTCTAAACCTTCTGTTTGCCAAGGGGCTGTGTATGAACATCTCCAATCCTTCTACCTAACTGAACTCTGCTTCCTGTCAGTCAGTGAATTTCATTTCCGTGTTGCTTCTGACCATTTTATTCCATAATATATAAACTTTCTCACAATTCTGTTGTGTGGAGCTTTATCAAATGCTTTTTGAAAGTCAGGATACAAATTCTGTAGGAATCAACCTCTTTAATATGTATTTACTTACACTTCTTCCCAAATGTACAGCCATGTGGGGTCCCTTGTGGCCCATTCACGCTTCCCCTTTGAGGCATGCAATTGTAGAGAAAAACAACTTCGAGTATGAGTATAATTATCTCACAAGTAGTGCCAAAGTTTCTTATGCAATATCTGTCCCTTTAGATGGGCAAATTTGTAAATTCACCACTAGTTAGAAGATTTTGTGATGCTACATTACGTCTAAGAAAGATACATTTTGCGTGAAATCTTTGGATAGTCAGATGTTTTAGAGAAAGGCCAGTTGCGAATGTTCAATGCCAAGAAGTTGCAGCTTTATCTGGAAGGTTATAAAATTGATCAGGAAGGCTTGGCACATGTGAATTACAGAATGCATTGGATGCATTTATCGTGAATGACAATAAATGACTGAAACTCTGCGAGTAGGTAATTACCTTGTTTTACTTGTAAATAAGCAAACTGCTGAGTTGCTACAGGCCAAACGTCCTGATATTTCAAGTGCCAGGATGGTATCGGTGACATTGACCAGACATTCCCAGAAGTGGTAATCACACTTGAGATTTGGATCGAATGGTTTTGGGGTGTCAGGTTTGATATAGTGAAGAAAGGGGAACAACAGGTCAGGTCCAAATGGGGGTGTGTGCGGTAGGGTCAGTTGAATTGTAACAGTGTATTTAATAGTCTAACTTCCTAAGTAACTATTGTACTTAATTTCATCAGAGGCCTCTGAAGTCTTTGATTTAAATGAAGACTTTCAGGGCGTTCCAGACGTAGAGGAATTGTCCAGCAGAAGATTCAGTTTCCTGGGTAATTTCTTTTGGAGTGTACTACAACAAGGATTCCAGAGTGTCCACAAGCATGATTCCCACCTTTGATGGAACAACAACTGTCAGGCTGTTATAAAATACCTTGTCTGTAAGGTAGGAGTCAGTGAAGGTGATTATATCAGTCTGACTTGGCTATTGTATGACTATTATGCTATGTGGAAAGCTGGAGAAGGAACAAACTTTTGTGTCGTGCCTTCTTTGTGGTTTAAAGATGCCTCCCACCCTTTGCAGTTAATTACATAGGGTTTTGAGAAGGGAAGGTTCAGATAGTCAGAGTAATAATCTAACACCATGTCGGCTAGTGTGAGTTTACCCATTAAGGGCTTTTGTAGCTCCTCCAGGAAGGAATTTAAATTACAACCCTTCCTGAAGCTCCCATCACCAGTTTCAATCCCAGGATGTTGATTTCAAGTGTTTCCCTTGAAGATGTAGTCACCCTGATGCTGCTGGGGGCTCTGACCATTATCCTCCTGCTGTATTTCAACAGTGGCTCAAAAACTCTTGGAGTCATTAACTTCCCCATGGGACCCTCCCACTGTCAGTGATCAGAAACCTGCACGTGTTGGATCTGAAGATACTGAACAAGTCTTTGAAGCTAACAGGGAGTTAGACTTGGACAGTAAATCAAAAGCCTGGTTTGCTCTTTGCCATCTCCGTTCAGCTCTTGGGGGTGTTCATTTATATCACGCCTTTAGTGCAGAAATGTACGTTGTTGTCACCAATGCAAACCAACCAGAATCCAGCAAATTTCACCCCAAAATTACCACCATTTTGGGCAGGTAAAAGAACTAGGTGTAATGTGGCTCCACTTCAATAATATTTAACTGGCAGCTAAGTGCTGAGCCATATCTGGTTGTTGTGAAAAGTTCTAAAAAAGTTTTTTTTTCCTTAGCTGAACTTTAAACTTCACAGAGTAATGGGTGTGAGAGTGGGAGGGGAGAGGGTGGTTATGTACTCTCCTGTCTACAATCAGAAAAGACCCCAGGTCCTTCTGTTCTCTGTGAGTTGGTAACAGTGCTTCTGTCCAGGGATCCATGTGCTACGTCATTGTTGGACTGAATGAACACCAACTGCCTGGGCCTGTTGTTTGGTCTTTGGCCAAATCTCCATTTAAATAACATCCTGCTCTTCTATTTTCACTGCCAATGTGATCATTTTCCTAAATTATACTCAAACAGTGGAATTTTAACCATTCAGCTAAGCTGTTGCTATCCCTTCGTAAACTTTGCAACATTGGACCAGGTTCTTTGTCCAGGCCCAGGATCAGTGCCACTGGGAGCTGCTCCAATCCATTTAGTCCTCTCTCCTCTGTACCTCAAAGCCAAAGATCAGGAGATTCAGATTGAAGCATGACCCAAATGGAGGAACTGCTGCTTCAAGTCATAAAGCAACAATCCAAAGAGCCTGTGAAGTGGCTATCAATGGGTTAAATGAATGGTTGAAAATTTGGCAATTCCAGTACAATGTAGGAAAATGTGCATGCAGAAGAGCAAGATATAATTTAAATGTGGAGAGTCTGCAGAATGCTGCGGTACAGAAGCATCAGGCTGTTCTTGCAAATGAATTAGAAAACGTCAACATGCAGGTTTAGCAAACAAAGATAGGTAAATGGACTTAACGTTTTGGGTCCGGTGACCCTTCCTCAGAACTGATGGTGGCTGGGAAAACGTCAGTTTATATGCAGAAAATAGGGAGGTGGGTGGGGTAGGGAGTAAACGATAGGATAGAGCCCAAAGAGAGAGAAAGACAGTTGGACAGACAAAGGAGTTGCTAATGATCAGGCTGGGAGAGTGATTAGTTGTTAATGGGAACTGTTAGTGACTAACAACAGGGGGTGTGTAATGGCAGGCTATGTGGTAACAAGGCCTGGT